ACTGTTATTAAATCACTTGACAAGTTCATTGAGAGCAAGCGTGTTTTCTTATCCGAAGTTAAGGATGATAATCTCATCGATTGCCTTGTTCGAAAGTTGAATATAGTTTGCTTTCCTCCCAATGAGAATATCAAGTCTATAGAAAGGATTCCACTTGAGTGCGACTTTTATTGTGATATGATGTATCATGTACCTTATTCAACATTTATAAGCTTTCCACATGCTGAAGCTGTCAGAGAATTGGATTCGATTATGTCCAGTGAAAGTAGCACCGCAGAAATAAAAGAACATGTATACGAAAACACCCTGCTTGATTTGTATTCTGGCTGTGGTGCGATGTCCAGTGGTTTATGTCTTGGAGCTGCGAACTATGGTGTTAAGCTTGTAACAAAATGGACAGTGTATTTCAATAGAGAAGCATGTGATAGCTTGAGATGGAATCATTCAGAGACGCAGGTCCAAAATGAAGCTGCTCAGGATTTCTTGTGCCTTTTCAAGGAATGGGAACACCTTTGTGTCTGTTGCTCTCTGATAACAAGCAACTCAGCACCACATCCTTGCTTGAATATTTGTAATGAAGAAGAAGAAGAAGGGACTGCAAGTGATAGAGACAATGAAGTATATCAAGTTGAACAAGTATTAGAAGTTTGCTTTGGGGATCCAAAGAAAACTGGAAAGTCTGGATTGCACTTCAAGATACGTTGGAAAGGTTATGGCGAAGCTGATGACACATGGGAACCCATTGATGGTTTGAGTGGTTGTGAGCAGAAAATGAAGGAGTTCATTGAGAATGGGTTTAAAGCAAGTATTTTGCCTTTGCCAGGGAGTGTTGATGTCGTATGTGGTGGCCCACCTTGCCAAGGAATAAGCGGCTTCAGTCGCTTTAGGAATAGGGAAAATCCATTAGAGGATCCCAAAAACAAACAACTAGAAGCAGCATGTAGATACAAGAATGGCTAAACGCCATTTCTCTATGGTAAAAGTGGATGGAGATCTTTATAATCTTCATGATGATGCTTATGTTAATGGTGAGGAAGGTAAAGACAATTATGTTTGTAAAATCGTTGAGATGTTTGAAGATTTAGATGGAATGCGTTATTTCACGGCTCAATGGTTCTACCGAGCTAAGGACACTGTTATTAAATCACTTGACAATTTCATTGAGAGCAAGTGTGTTTTCTTATCCGAAGTTAAGGATGATAATCTCATCGATTGCCTTGTTCGAAAGTTGAATATAGTTTGCTCTCCTCCCAATGAGAATATCAAGTCTATAGAAAGGATTCCACTTGAGTGCGACTTTTATTGTGATATGATGTATCATGTACCTTATTCAACATTTATAAGCTTTCCACATGCTGAAGTTGTCAGAGAATTGGATTCGATTATGTCCAGTGAAAGTAGCACCGCAGAAATAAAAGAACATGTATACAAAAACACCCTCCTTGATTTGTATTCTGGGTGTGGTGCAATGTCCACTGGTTTATGTCTTGGAGCTGCGAACTATGGTGTTAAGCTTGTAACAAAATGGGCAGTGGATTTCAATAGAGAAGCATGTGATAGCTTGAGATGGAATCATCTAGAGACGCAGGTCCGAAATGAAGCTGCTCAGGATTTCTTGTGCCTTTTCAAGAAATGGGAACACCTTTGTGTCTGTTGCTCTCTGATAACAAGCAACTCATCACCACATCCTTGCTTGAATATTTGTAATGAAGAAGAAGAAGAAGAAGGGACTGCAAGTGATATAGACAATGAAGTATATGAAGTTGAACAAGTATTAGAAGTTTGCTTTGGGGATCCAAAGAAAACTGGAAAGTCTGGATTGCACTTCAAGATAGGTTGGAAAGGTTATGGTGAAGCTGATGACACATGCGAACCCATTGAGGGTCTGAGTGGTTGTGAGCAGAAAATGAAGGAGTTCATTGAGAATGGGTTTAAAGCAAGTATTTTGCCTTTGCCAGGGAGTGTTGGTGTCGTATGTGGTGGCCCACCTTGCCAAGGAATAAGCGGCTTCAATCGTTTTAGGAATAGTGAAAATCCATTGGAGGATCCCAAGAACAAACAACTAGAAGCAGCATGTAGATACAAGAATGGCTAAACGCCATTTCTCTATGGTAAAAGTGGATGGAGAGCTTTATAATCTTCATGATGGTGCTTATGTTAATGGTGAGGAAGGTAAAGACAATAATATTTGTAAAATCGTTCAGACGTTTGAAGATTTAGATGGAATGCGTTATTTCACGGCTCAATGGTTCTCCCGAGCTAAGGATACTGTTATTAAATCACTTGACAAGTTCATTGAGAGCAAGCGTGTTTTCTTATCCGAAGTTAAGGATGATAATCTCATCGATTGCCTTGTTCGAAAGTTGAATATAGTTTGCTTTCCTCCCAATGAGAATATCAAGTCTATAGAAAGGATTCCACTTGAGTGCGACTTTTATTGTGATATGATGTAT